CCCCTCCCCCATATGGATGTCACTGACCTAACATCTAAGAAAATTTCCTCATTCAAGATATTTATATGAAAAATTTACATATTCATTCAATATTATAGAAGAATGTATTAAAAATTTTCAAGTGCATTAAAAATATTACATAATTTTTTTTAAAAAAACCTCTTCTGTTAAATGCATTAAGCTAAAAATCAACATTATAAAAATTATGCTAATATGGCTTGATGTATGATTTTATTCTCAAATTTCATGTATTTTTATTTATTGTGAAAAACTAGACTTGGACAAGATAATTGTTTGGCGAAGTTTTGTGTTGTAATAACAGAAATACTCAACAATTATTGTCGAAAAAATGTAAATAATTATGTTTCTAGTATGACATTTGTTGAAACTGAAGCAGCTGATGTTTAAAAGTTTTAAAATAAAATTGTTATGAGCAAAATGTATAGTTTCCATTAATTCATCTTAAAAATGAGGGACTGAAATAAAATTATCAGTTCTTATTTACATTTAAGAAACAACACCCATTTTTGTTTATTTACTCTCTCACATACTTCTTCTAATTCAGTTTATACGGTGATTAAATTCTCTAAAAGAAAAATGGCAATTTTCAACCTTCTTTTGCCATGATATCGGGGTTTAATAAAACTTTCCCGCCACCGCCAATATCGTCTGCGCGAACAGTTCTCTTTGGTGTTCCTGTTTTGTCAAATGATGTTTGCTATTTGAAAGAAAGATACTTACTTTAGAACACTGTGTTGTGAAATTTGTAAAATAATATCGTTATCAGTGTAAGGTGTGTGAAATGGAACCATCACGCTACCAAATTAGAACCATCATTTACTTACAGTTCTGTAGCAAAAAATCATCTACAGATATCACCAAATCGTGCATATAGCTTTAAGTACTAATGTTGTATCACATAACATTGTGAAGATTTGGTACCGAAAATTCAAAAACAGGACTATGACATTCAAGAAGCAGAGCGCTCTGGCCCGGCCTATTCATGTTGATGAGGCCTGCCTGCGAGAACTTGTCGGAAGAAGATTAGTATGCAAGCACTCGACAACTTGCTAAGAAGTTAGACGTTAGTGCTATGTCCATTAGTAAAGCTATGCATCACATAAACTTGCCGTACAAGTTTAATGGCTGGGTGCCGCATGAACTGACTCAAGCAGTTGGAATACATGTTCAGGCCTACACTAATCTGCTCGAATATCTATGCAAGGAAAAAACTCTGGACCGGATCGTCATTTGTGATGAAAGAGGATCTACTTCAACAACACAGGCTGAAAAGGGGTTTGGTCTGCACCCAATGATTCTGTCGGCAGAGTTAACTAAAAGATCATGCCTTGTATATGATGCGATTATCGTGGTACTATCCACAAAGAGTATCTGGTAAAAAACCCTCGATAGTAAAGCTGCACAGCGAGATGCTAATTCATGTTGACGCTGCTATCAAGAGAAAACGTCGAACTGAGTTCCGGCGCAAAACGGTAATGTTCCATCACGATAATGCAAGACCACATAAGCCTGCATTCACCGGCTGGACACGAATGTGATCTTTTACCACACCCACCATGTAGCCCCGACATCTCTCCTTCGGAATTCTACCTTTTTCACATCTGTAGTTAAATCTTGCTAGTGCTATCTTCCATTCTGCTCAAGAAGGTACGAAATGAGGTACGAATACGTACGAATCTGCCTCTGTATGTCATATTTGTGAGAAGCCATTGAATGGAGATAAGGTAAGTAGTATTTGAATATTATAACTTAATTCAGTAATATGCTTTTATAATAATGGGTTTTTAAAACTAATTTTTAATTTTTCTAGGTGCGGGACCATTGCCATCTCACGGGAGTCTACAGAGGAGCAGCTCATAATGGATGCAACATCAATTTCAAATTTGCAAATTTTCTACCCATAGTCTTCCATAATCTGAAGGGGCTCTCACCTCCTGATGACTCTCCCCTCCTGATGCAAGCAGTAGGAAAATTCAAAGACGAAGAGATTAAGTGTATTCCGCAGAATTCAGAAAAATTCATCTCTGTTTCTTTGGGTTGTCTACGCTTCATCGATTCTCTACAATTTCTGAATGCTTCTTTAGACAAGCTCGCGGCTAATTTGGAGCCACAACAATTCCAACTGACAAGAGCCTGTTTCCGAGAAAAAACAGATCTGATGCTTCGAAAAGGTAACCAGAATTTCTATAAATTTTAAATATGATAATGTATTATTATTTTTTTATATGGGTTATTTATTTTCATATTTTTTTCCAGGTGTCTACCCCTATGAATACCTAGACTCGTTTGAACGATTTGATGAGCCGCACCTTCCACCTCTCACTGCCTTTTACAGCCATTTAACAGAGAGTGATATCAACGATAAGGATTACCAACATGCGAACAGAGTCTGGGAAGATTTCGGATTACATCATCTAGGACAGTGGTGCGCAAACTAGGGGTCGCCAGAAGATTTTTGGGGGTCGCCAAATTTTTATGAAATGCATTATGCCTGCATGATGCATACCATACAGTGTACATATAAAGAGTGAAGCGCCGTCACTCACTGTTTAATTGCAATTTCATGCTGTCCGCTCTTTCTTTGACCGTAATGCGTAATATATGTAAAGTGTGATGACGCAAGTTTTTCACTCCGGTAGATAGCGCTCTCTTCGCGGTAATTCACCAGTTTTACTGAAAAGCGCCTATTTGACTAGACGTTGACCGCAGAGAGAGGGGAAAATTCGCTTCCATGATCAGCCAATCAGATGGCGAGGTGGTGTATCTGATAGTCAGAGGAAGACGTGGAGTGTTCGCATGAAGTTCTAGTATGTAGCAGTTGGCCTGCAATTGTTTTTGTTTATCCTCGAGTTTTATCATGTGACGTTGTGTAATTATGATTTTTTATATTTTTATCGGGCTTTGCTACTCTTTGTTATCAGGTATGTACTATCATTAGAGAAAGATTTCTGTTAATTTTATTGAATTTCTCGAAAAAAACTGATAAAATTTTATATATTATTTGTTTTAGTTTAAATAATTTAACCCCTATCTTCATAATGGATAAATGGGTAATACGTACACCAGGTACATCTTCAGCTAACAAACGAACATACTGAACTAAATGCCCGATCTAAAAAAATAAGAAAATACAATGAGGAATTTATTAAGTATGGTTTTACATTTTGTGTTGTTGATGATGAAGAACGCCCGATATGTGTCATTTGCAACAAAAAATTAGCAAATGAGAGCATGAAACCAGCTAAATTAAAAAGGCACCTGGAAACTAAACATAAAGAACTTCAAAATAAACATGCCGATTTTTTTCAAAGACGAGCTGAAAATCTGAAAATTCAAAGTGCACATTTAAAGAAATTTACAACAATATCTCAGAAAGCATTACGAGCTTCTTTAGAAGTTTCTTATCTAATAGGAAAAACAATGAAACCCCATACAATTGGAGAATCCCTTATCCTTCCTGCAGCAACTAAGATGACATCAATTATGCATGGCGATAAATATGGAAATGAACTAAAAACAATACGGTTATCAAGAGATACCGTGTCTCGGCGGATTTCCGAAATGTCACGAAATATCGAGTCAAAAGCCATAAAACGCATACAAAATTCATCTGTATTTGCTTTACAACTGGACGAGACTACCGATATTACTAAAATGTCACAACTAATTATTTACGTTAGGTTTATTTTTAATGAAGATATAACAGAAACGTTTTTATGTTGCAAAAGTTTGGAAGGAAAAACACTGGAGAAAAAATATTCGAAGTAATAAATGAATATTTTGAAACAAAGTCCCTTACCTGGGCAAACTGTGTTGCGGTTTGTACTGATGGTGCTGCAGCATTAACAGGTTCGAATAAAGGGCTAAGAGGCTTAATTCAGAAGGTGGCGCCTCATATGGTATTTAATCACTGTATGATTCATCGGCAAGCTCTTGTTGCAAAAGATATGGATGAAGAGTTGCACAACATATTACAAGACGCTGTTAGTTCAATTAACTACATTAAATGCAACAGCCACAACAGCCGTCTCTTTTCAATACTTTGCAATGAGATGGGCTCAATGTATGAGAGATTACTGTTACACACCGAAGTCAGATGGCTTTCACGTGGGAAAATACTACGACGGATATTTGATTTGAGAAATGAAGTGTACATGTTTTTAATCGAAAAGAAACATAGATTGGCAAGTTATTATATCAATGAAGTTTGGCTAGGGAAGCTGAGCTATTTAGTTGATATTTTCGAAAAACTTAACGACTTAAATTTGAGCTTGCAGGGTGAGAATTCAACTATCATAACTTCAGCCAGTAAAATTCAAGCTTTTAAGAATAAGCTTAGTCTCTGGCAAAATGAACTGAATAAAAACAATACCGACATGTTCCCTTGCTTTAACGATTTTATCAAGGAAAATAATATAGATATATTTACATTTAAAAACATCATTTCCAATCACATTGAAAAGTTAAAGGAAAATTTTTCGAGAAGATTCGAGGATTTTCCTGAAAACGATCTTGGTTTGGATTCGTGATCCATTTTCCTTTGACATATGCAGTTCAACTCTTCAAATTAGCGAGAAAGAGCAATTGATAGATCTAATTAGTGATTATACTCTTCGAAATCAATTTAAGACTCAACCTTGCCAAAAATTTTGGCTATCCGTGGAAAAACAATATCCCGTTTTATGCAAGAATGCCATCAGAGTGTTAATACAATTTGCATCAACGTATTTATGTGAAACTGGATTTAGCAAACTAGTTTCAATAAAAACTAAATTCCGCTCGCGTTTAAACCCTGAAGATGATATGCGAATTGCAATTAGCAGCATACATCCAAACATCGATGAGATAATTAGAAACTTGCAGCCAAATACATCTCATTAAAGGGCAATTTACTGATTTTTGTGTTATACAAAAAGTATTTTCCTAAAATTATAAATAAAATTAATATGAGTCAGATATGATGATGTTTTTATTCGATGAAACGAAAGAAATGCGCGGTGAACATTTATCTCTAGGGGTCGCCAAAAATTTTCTCTCTACAAAAGGGGTCGCAGTCGAAAAACGTTTGCGCACCACTGATCTAGGAGACTACCACGATCTCTATGTAAAAAGCGATGTTTTGCTTCTGGCGGATATTTTTCAAAACTTCAGACGACTCTGTCTTAATTTTTACATACTGGATCCCGCACATATTTACACAGCACCTGGTCTGGCTTGGCCAGCTGCTCTACGCATGTCCGGTATCGAACTGGAGTTACTCACCGATCCTGATATGTATCTCTTTATAGAAAAGGGCATTCGAGGTGGCATCGCTATGATTTCACATCGCTTCAGCCAAGCCAATAATAAATATGTGGAAAATTTTGACCCAACGAAGCCATCATCTTATATTATGTCTTTGGATGCCAATAACCTTTACGGGTAAGTATCCTTTCCAAATGTTTAGATATAATATTTTCTCTATTATTTACTTGTGATATGTATTGTGATATTCATTATTTTTATTCTATCTTTTTAGATGGGCCATGAGCCAAGCTTTACCAACCCATGACTTCCGGTGGCATGACGGACCTCTTAACTTCATGGAGATGGCTGACGATGCGGAAGAAGGATGTATCCTTGAAGTTGATCTGGAGTATCCAAGGGAACTTCACGATGATCATTCGGACTATCCTCTTGCTCCCGAACAAGTCGTCGTGACTCCTGATATGTGGTCACGTCACCTTACACGCGAGACCTGGTAACTAAATTCCAAATCCCACCGAGCAATTCTACCAAACTGGTGCCAAATCTGCGACCTAAGCATCGGTACGTGATAGATTACCGAAATCTGAAGCAGTATGTTTCACTGGGGCTTCACGTGACAAAGATCCATCGAGTGCTGACGTTCAAACAATCTCCTTGGCTTGCAACATACATTGAATTCAACACTAGGCAACGTAAACTGGATAAATCTTTCGAAAAAGATTTATTTAAACTCTTAAACAATTCAGTTTATGAATCATCCTATCTATGTAGGCTTCAGCATCTTGGATTTATCAAAAACGTTGATGTATCAATTTCATTATGGATATATCAAGAAAACATATGCATTAAAGGCCCGTTTATTATTCACAGACACCGACAGTCTTTGTTACGAAATAGAAACTGATGATATTTTTCAAGACATGGGCAACAATCTGAACTTATTCGATACCTCAGATTACCCAGAAAATCATCCCCTCTACAGCCTTACCAATAAAAAGACGATCGGTAAAATGAAAGATGAACTATCTGGACAAATTGCCCAAGGAATTTGTTGGACTCAAGCCAAAAATGTACAGCCTACTGAGTAACTCTACTGAGAAAAAAACTGCTAAGGGCGTATCGAAAACCATCCTTAAAAGAGAGATTCGTCATGTGGACTACTACGTTAACTGTATTTTACAACAACAACGCGGCCTTGCCCATGCGCAACGTATTGCTAGCCACAGTCATCAGATAAAGACTGTGGCGTATACGAAAGCTACTTTGTGTCCTTTCGATACTAAACGGTATCTTTTAGACGATGGGATACCGTCCTATGCATACAGATATTATGCCATATAATTTTTAGTTTGAATAAATTTATCTCAAAATTCTCTGTACATTCAATCAAAATTCTAAAAGTATTTTATTGTGGAAATTTATGATGTAAATAAGTGTAATGATATGTCTTCAAACTTTAATAAATGTTTATTTAAATATATTATTTCTTGTTTTGTACCTTAAAAATCTAAGTCTTCAATAAAGAGAGAGTTCTCTTAATCTTTTTAAGAAAATGTTTAACACGTTAGAATATTTTAATCAAGTTACAATAATTAATCTGGCAATTTAGAAAAATTAATTTTAGTTTTATCAAAAAATGGAAAGTTAGAAAAATTAAAAATCTAGTTGAACAGCTATAAGTAGAATTGTTTTTCGAATAAGAATTTAGTTAAGATGGAACTATTGAAATTGAAGCATCCTTTCACGATGTTAACTGCTGGTCCTAGTGGTAGCGGAAAAACCATGTTTATTAAAAAATTAATGGACCACCAAATGATCACTCCTTTTCCTCCTAAAATTATTTGGTGCTATGGTGCTTATCAAAGTCTTTACGATGAGATAAATCATATTGAATTTTGTGATGGTTTGCCTGAAAACATCCACGATCAGCCATTGTTGTAAATACAGACAAGTCCACAGAACCTGGAGGGCATTGGATAGCCTTTTTTCAAGATGAAGAATTAGAATTTTTTTATTCTTATGGACAATCTCCAGATATTTTGAATTTCACTGTTCAAATGTAAAATGGAATAATATTTCATTACGGAGTGTAACTTCTAATGTATGTGCAGCATACTGTATTTATTATGTTCTTAAACGAAGCCAAGGCCAGTCTATGTATACCATTATTGAAAATTTATATAAAATAAGTGATATTAACCTGTATCAATTCGTGAAAAAAACTTATAATGTAAGAATGATTTTTAAACAATAAAATATTTGAAATGTATTTTTTCTTTTGTGTTTTATTTTTCTGACTGAATAAATTTTTTCATCTTATATAAAAGCACATAGAGTTTTAAATATAATGACAACGAAACTTTTTCATGTGAAGAAAACACAAATAACACTTTTCTAACTTTTCATTTTCTAGAACTTGTCCAGCTGGTGAATGGGGGTGGGAAAAGACTGACCATTTACATGGATTTCGTTTTCATATGGCTTATAGTGAGATACTCTGTTTGCAAGTTCTCTATGATCTTCAACGGCATGAAGGGCTGCTAACACACTCCAGACGAGACATTTGTGGTCCTCATTCTGGATATTGAGAACAGCCAGTTTACTGGCTAAGGCTTTCGGTAGAGGTATATAGGAGGAAGAAGCTAAAGGCTTGTAAATAGCGGTCTTGAGTTCTATGTATTGGATGGAGTCTAAAACCCATCCTGAACCTTTTTTCAGAAATTTCTCCGAGGAATCCAGCACCTGTAAAACATTTCATGAGTATTACTAATTTTATACACATTTTAAAATAAATTTAAGTTCAAATAAAATTAACTTTCTTACCTTTTCAAAAGCTGTTTGCATGTCGGGCATTTGTCCCGTGAGCGTAGTGCTGCATCTGGATCGAAAGTAAGGGGTGTATGTCTCCTCCTCGGTCTCTGACACTTTTCTGACCATCTTCACACAAACATTCAAGTACCATTTGATACTGTGGTGTAGTGGCCGAAACCGCTATGCTAACCCTGGGTTGTGACATCAGGATCAAAACAAAACACAGCATAAAAATTTTATTGAACGCAAAAAAAAAAAAAAAAAAAAAAGGCTACATACAATTCTGCAGAGAAAAACCTATCTTCAAAAATCAAATTCTATACATTTTACCTGCGAGAGCAATTCGTGGCTCTCGAGCTTGCGTTTTTAACATTGCCAACGATTAATTATTTTAATAAAGACTATTTTAAGAACTATTGAAAACGTATTTGTAAGTTAAAAAAATAATAATTTTCAGCTTATGTTCACGAGACATCCTTGTCCATATAAATCTTCAGTCTCTTTTTTCTTTTATGTAACCTTATCACAGCTCCTCCCCTCATAAAGAAATTTTTCTTGACTATGGAAGGAAACATTCTAAATACATTTCACTGCTTTCAAAACACAAGTGGTAACCATTTAAGTGATAATAGAGAAGCCAGTTACATTAACCTTCACTTATTTCTAGATAACATAAATGCAAAAATACAACAAAAAGATTTAAATTTTGAATCTACACAAAGCACCTTTTCAGTTTACAAAATGCTAATACTTAAACATTTGATCCTAACCATTTTAAAAATGAAACACACTATGCAAACAAATTTAAATCTACAAAAATATAATTCCAAAACGCTACAAAAATCATTTTTCAAACCACAGTTCACAGAATAAAAAGGATTGGCTCCTCCATATACTTCATCTGTAGATCTGATCTCAAATAATCAATCACTGAGATAGAACACACTTAAACATTTACAACTATATTTGGATGAGGTCCCAATTTCTTTTTCCTGACTTTATGATTTGTCAGTTCATCCAAAGAAAACTCGCCAATGGCTGGTAATGTCTCCTTATACATTGCACGAGATATAGCATATGCAGTTGATTCAGCATTGTAATTGAACATCATTTTTACAGCAAGGTTATTTGGAAGCAATTTCTCAGAAGAAAACGTCTTGATAGAAGTGGGTTTTTCGAATATCGAATTCTGCAGATCTTGTGTTCCTTCAGTATGCAATATAATAAATTTTGCTCGGTGTTGAACATTATCATGAGTTTCTGTTGCTTGTGCTTCCGAGAATTTTGCTGGCGAAACATCCGCAAGGATAACCCTTTCCTCTAAACTGATGTCTGGAATTTTAATGTTCTCCTCCGTATTACTGGTTAACTTCCTTTCTTCCGAATGCTCATTTTTGACGACCCTTTCACTTTCTATCTCTTTCTCTTCTCCCGATCTGGAATCTAAGTCTTCTGCACTCGCTCTTTCTCTAAACTCCTGCGCGCATGCGCCTGACTACGAGTCTCCACATTCAAGAAACATTCAAGAGAACGGGTCGTTCCCTAATTTCCTCAATCAACTGTGCAGTTTTATTCCCTAACAAACCTGCCTATATAGTACTCTTTATCTAACTCTACCGGAGTAACCGCTGCCTTTGTGGTGACCACACCAAAATCACCTTCAATGATGACTTTCGCCAAAGGTAAACATTTACATTCTGTGTCCAAAGGCTGTTTCACCCATACAGTTTTCCCCTAATAAGTCACTAGTATTAATCCAAGTACTATTACAACAGATCTATACCAGCTCCAGCTCCAGTATCTCTCAGATATTCTCTCTCTATCCCATTAATTACTGCTTTCTTGAAATACGGCTCAAAACATTTTCCTAAACTCTCCGTTCCTAGATTATTCACCAGATTAGCCTTATTCTTTTCCAGCGATGGACAGTTAGGTCGGATATGTCCGTCCTTTCCACATTGGTAACACCTTATTTTCCGCTGTTTCTCGAAACCTGCTTCATTGAAAACTTGCTTTTTTTTAGGAGCCTCCACTTTTCTATGCTCCTCTGATTTAATTCTTTGATGACCACTACTTTTCTGATTATAACTACAGTTAGAATTTATATACCGCTCTCTATCTTTCTCAAATGGTTTCTTTAACACCGCTCTCTGTTCTAACTTCCTCATATCTCTTCGCAAAGCCTCATACTTGTCGCATTTCTCTGCTAAAATGGAAGCTGTTTTAAATTCTTCCCAATTGTCTAAGTAGTGCTCTCTTATTTCTAGAGGGACTCGCCGCTTAATTTGCTCAGTGAGCATAAGTTCCTTAAGACTTTAAAAACTTGAACTTCTACTGAATCCAACCAATTCTCTAAATACATTCTCAATTCATACACTAAATCCACCCATAACATTCCGTTTTTTCCAAAATGTTCTTCAAATTTTGTTTTTAGTGCCCAAGAACTAAGCTTGAATCTCTGCATGAGTAATTTCTTAACATGCTGATAATCATCCCCTTTATCCGCTGGTTCTTTCACTATTAACTGGGCTACATCGTAAGGTAATAAAGGAATTAATTGCGAGACCCAATCAATCTCATTAACGTTCTCTTTTTGAGCTTGTTTCTCAGATAGCATAAAGAATAATGAAATATCTATATTACTCGGTTCAAAACGCGGTACTAGATCTTTCAAATTAACCTTTTTTTCTCTAGATTGTTCAACTTTCGAAACCGTGGAAGCTAGGCTATTAGTCTGAACCACATTCATCAGTTTTTAACCTTTCCAATTCAAAAACTCGCTTCCCGCTCCCGTTCTGCTCTCTCTCTTGTTCGGCTGTTCTATTTTTTTCTGCTTTTCTCTGCTCAGCCGCAGCCCAAATTCTTGCCGCGTATTCTTTCGCAGCTTCTTCTTCATAGTCCTCGGCATTTAGAATAGCCTGCCTAATTTCTCTTACTCTATTTGCCTGAGACGCATTTGTTTCAAACTCCTCCGCTAACTCCAATAGCAGAGCTTTAGTAAATTTCCTTATAAACTCACCCATTATGGAAAATTAAAGAAAAATAACCTACCCAGGAATACAATAACACAAAAACAACAACAACAGGTCTACCTCTCCAAAACTGAATAATTTCCTAACAATTCTGAACACAAATTGCCTTACAACACTTAATGATAATACCTATGCCTACAAACAAAGCGTATATAAAAAAATGCTAATTAAGAGGCAACCTTTTCCTGCTCTATATCCAAAATAAGCCTAGTCTCGAATAACTGGCATAACCTCTCCAAAATCACAAAAATGGTACTCACCAATTTTGAAGACGCCTTCGATTGACTCTCCTGGCACTACTTGGATATTCTTCCTGGAAATTTCACTATTTTGCGGCACTAGATCACGCTTCCTCCGGCGTTCCCTTCTGACACACTGTCACTGAAGAGGCTTCACCACGCGAACTGTCCTTGCACGCAAAATTAGATTGTTCTTGAAGAGAAGAAAGTCTTGACTGTTTACATAAAACTCAAGTTCACAGGCGAAAAAGTCCGTTCCTAAATTTACTCTCAGGAACAATCCCTAAAAGCTGCCACCAACTTTTAATATTTACTGCTGTGATGTAGTGGCCAAAACCGCTATGCTAACCCTGGGTTGTGACATCAGGATCAAAACAAAACACAGCATAAAAAAATTTATTGAATGCTAAAAAAAAATGGCTACATACAATTCTGCAGAGAAAAACCTATCTTCAAAAATCAAATTCTATACATTTTATGTGCGAGAGCAATTCGTGGCTCTCGAGCTTGCGTTTTTAACATTGCCAACGATTAATTATTTTAATAAAGACTATTTTAATAACTATTGAAAACGTATTTGTAAGTTAAAAAAATAATAATTTTCAGCTTATGCTCACGAGACATCCTTGTGCATATAAATCTTCAGTCTCTTTTTCTTTTATGTAACTTTATCACAATACCTTGGTGCTGTGCGGCAGTTTCTTGAATCTTGCTCGCGACTTCGGTTTTCGACAATTCTAAAAATACTTGCAAGTCATTGTTGGTGTCTTCACTGAGATAAATGATTTCCGTAGCAAACGTACCAAGGTAGGGTGGACGCTCTTGCCTCGGTCGTTTAGAGGCAGGCACGGTGGCGGGGAAAGCTGTTCGTTTCACTCAGCAAGATGGCGAGGATTTCGGTGATTTAGCATGAATCTTCATATGATTATTCAGTTTATCGGAGCGTCGAAACTCCTTTTGCATATGGTGCAAATGTATTTATCTACTGAATGCTGAGTCTTTACATGGCGAGTTAGATTGGTGCGTAGAGTGAATGTTTTCCAACAGTGTGGGCATGCAAGACTATCATCAAATGCGTCATCTAATTGGGAGGGTCTCAGATCACCAAAATCCATAATAGCAATCGTTTGCTCGTCGAAAGACATGTCTTCGTATTCAAATGCATATTCAGGATCCATCTAAAAATATAAAAGTACAAAAATAAGTATTATAACTCAAAAATTCTCGACCGTACAATTTTTGAAAAAGAAAAATACTTACGTTGCCTTGTGGTTGAGCAGCGTCATGATTTAAAAGCATAGCCTCAGATGTATGTTCCATCTGAAAAAATAAAGAAAAAATTCGGTAGTTCATGAAAAAATATTAAACAAGTCCAAGAAAGTTAAAATATTCAAATAAACTTACTTATAATAGTAAAATAAAAACAAACTCATTTAAAAATATATTGTAGCGTTAAATAGAAAGAATACAAAGGGAAAATCATCAGTTTAATCAAAGCTATAATATTTACATGAAAGTATCAAGGAACCTGAATTTAACTAAGAAGATTTACGTTAGGAAAAAGAAAGCATACTAAAGATAATTTAAAGAATGCAACAATATTTCGCATAAAAACCTAAGAGTAGCCTTAAGTTAACGAAGAAAATTTACATTAGTTACTATATTTCGCTAAAATGTCGATAAATATAATCTATACATAATAGTGAAAAAATATAGAATAAAATTAATATAAAAGAGGTATAGAAAATGAATGACTTACATTAAATCTCAACGGGTTCAACTAAAACGGTCCTTAGGAAATTTTGAAACAAAAACAAAGAAGACATTATAAAAACTATGTATGATATTTAATAAAAATAAATATTAACATCGAATCCATGAGTACAAACATAATCTATGGTAAAAACACTTACCTCGAATAACAAGTATTGATTCAAACAGGAAG